TCCAACTAATCAGGAACCACATAATAAATATGATGCTATCATGACAGTGCACAGACAGCAGGTTTGCTCAGTGGTGAGGTAATTCTGCCATTTTTGCAGCAGTGTCCATAATGTTCACCTTATCACTCAATGCCTTTTGAATGCTGCTTTTCTTGATGAAAGTAAGAAAATATGATAAGATCTGTACTTATCTCCAGTTCTCACATAACATCATGTCTGAGCATTTCAATCATGTGTTTATATACAGGACCATCATTGTTCAGGGTTCAGTGTATGTCTATAAGCATATTTCTCTGTGACTGGTACATAAGTGGATGCACCTATTATTGACTACTTATGCTTATTTGCTTATTTTATGCTTATTTTATTTATGGCATGTTATCCTTATTCTTCAGCCAAAAAAGGCTCCCAGAGCAGCATACAAAGATAACAAAGTCTATGAGATATCATGCTTTTCCAGATGTGCAAGTTGCAACTGTTCCATTCTTACTTTGATTGCACCTGTGTTTTCACATTTACAGCTGCCTACATCTATTCCGTGTTGTACCTATGCAGCAGTGTAAGTTGCTGTGTTTGTGTGTGTGCAAACATGCAATGTCAACTGAGTGTGCATACTCTGTAAGCAGGTGCACACAGTTGTGTCCCTGTGTCTGCATGTGGGGGGCTCAGTCAGGCATTATTTATTATTATTTATTAGGCTTGCATTGCTAGGCTTCTGAGTTATATCACTAAACCCCTTCAAGGTACTGTTAGTTCCACTGCAGTGAGCTCTAGAAGCTGGCTTTCATGACAAGCTCAGATGCTGCAGTAACCATTTCAACACAGAATCCAGAAGGCTCAAGCCACATGATGATCAGACCTGTCAAACCACAGGCCCCTCCCCACACACATGCATCCATGTCACTAAAGGCAAAGCATTCCTTCCCCACAGCTAGAATAATAGAAATGCTGCACATTAATGGATAATATACTGTGCTTGTTCAGGGCAAGCAGTCTGTGACTTCTGCTTAGACTGGGAGGTGCTGTGTTTGGCTCCTGAAAGATTGGCTCAGTAAAGGGGGGACCCTAGTCCAGTGGTGGACTACCTGCTCTGCATGCAGAAGGTTCCAGGTTCAACCACTGGCATCTCCAGGTAGGGCTATAAAGATTCATTCCTGAAACCCTGGCAAGCTGCTGCTGGTCAGTGCCAATAATACTAGGACAGACTGACCAGTGATCTGGCTCAGTATTAGGTCCATTGCCACCTCCAAGCTGAATCACATAATATCTAGCACTTCCCCAAGACTGAAGTCAGTGCCACAGGCTGGTTGCCAACACTCTGGATCTGAATGGTTGGTGTTTTCCTTCTAAATGCTGCTTTAGCCCTCAATTATTCATCTTGTAGAATCTTTGCTTTTTTGCCTTTCTGAGGGCTCATGGCTAGCAGCCTTCTGGAGCAAGCACATTTTTTAAGACAAAATATATAAAACAGCCTCCCTCAACTTATCCTTCTTACTGCTCCCAGCCAGCATGACTAAAAGACAGGGATGGTACAAGCTGTAGTTCAAAATATCTGGAGGATACCAGGTAAGGGAAGGCTGTTATAAACAACTGTAGGAGGGTTCCCTTGTCTTTAAAAGATGCCAATATCTGGAGGATACCAGGTAAGGGAAGGCTGTTATAAACAACTGTAGGAGGGTTCCCTTGTCTTTAAAAGATGCCACAGAATGCTGTGTACAATTCGCGGATTAAATAATTGAACATGACACCGATTCACCACGCGCAGAGAATCATTGCCTTCTTTGGCTTGATACATTCTCCTAGAAGTAGGCTTTAATTTAGACATAGTAAATGCTCATCTGGAACATGTTTCAGAATTCATTACACCAATTCCATGAGTAAAGTTCACATTAAAATGTCTTTAACATTTAAATTTCCCATAAAGCACATCAGCCATGCTACTTTGGGAGCACTGGGAGAAACTAAAATTCCATCTGGACCCAGAGGCTTAGTTTAGCTTCTTCCAGGCACCAGAAACCACCAGTGATAGATACATACATACACAATGCTATTCTGATCCTACATTTCACTTTAAAATTGCCAAATGTGGCACACAAATAGAGTGGCTAAACCCAACGGAGGTCAATGGTACCTGTAACTTCAATGGTTATATGCAAAAGAAGGAATTTTGGCAATTAAAATTCATACTGCCACAGTGCTGCAAGAGCAAGTACAGTGGCACCTGCCAACATTCCTTCTTCTGCTGAACTGCTAAAACCACAATGCAGGTGCCTTGCCCTCTTTTCTCACCTATGCACTGACTGTGTGCCTCTTCTTCCTTCTCTAGACTTCCTTATCAGTAGTCCTGGCTTCATATGTCTCTTCCTTTGGATGATATTGCTGAAGGCTTAAGTAGCAAGGCATTCTCAAGGGATTCTCTGGGGATCTTGCATTCCTGAAAATCAGAAAAGATTAACCAAAATTACTTGTTCCTCATGATTCCCATCAGAGGGCAGGAAATAGGGATTGCCCCTCCTCCTTAAGTAAGTTGTTTTGCCTACAGTCTGGGCTAGTTGTACCTCATAACAGGCAAATACCAGGCATCTCATTCCAGGTGTTATATAATGATCCCCTATAACTGAGCAGAGCTTTAAGGACTGGTGGTTATAAAACAGCAAGGCATAGATGTATCCTAGTATGGGAATGTGGGGTGAGGGTTAAATCTATCAGAGCTCCAGTGCACACAATCCTCTCTCTCTCTCCCCCCTTGAGGATTGGAGAATATGCTTTCCAATTCCAAGCGCTTCCTGCTGCCTGACTTTAATTTGTCTCTGGATTTACTGCAGATGGAGACTGGAGAAGGCAGGCTCAGACTGCTGAGGGAAAGGCAGACAGAGCTCAGACACAGCAGGGAGGAGGACATGCTTTGATTGCCTAAGATGACAGAGGGAGTGTTGTTCAGTCATATTTTCAGCTTTCATCATTCCCTTTCCTACCTCCCCACCCACGTCTCATCCCCAAGGAGATTCCTAGAACTGGCACCCATCCGTCACTGCTGCTTTTTTACTTGAGATTGGTGGGCTGCTGCTCATGTGAGAATGCATGTTGACAGCCTGTGGTGCTGTGCTGAAATTTTGAAGTGTAGGCATTCAGCATGACAAACTCTGCAGCTGCATTCTCAAAGAGAGGACAAAAATGCGAAGAGCTTTGTTCAACCCCATCCACTGGCTGTTTCGAACAGTCTCCCTCTCAGCTGGACTGAGGTCCCATTCAGGACCAAGCCACCCTCACCCCCCAAATACTTTGCGTTGCAGCAGGGATGGCGCACAACGGTATATTGCAATATACTGGAAAATCCATTTTGCCAAACCACTGTGGGGATTCCTGTTAAAGTCAGAAGGAGCGAAGAAGCCTGAGTGGTCGGCAGATGACATCCTTGTCCTCATCCTTGTTAATCAAACATTCCTGCACTTAGATCCTGCAAGCCTGGCTCCACTGCCACACAGCTGAGGACAAGTGCCAGAGGCATGGGATGCCAACCTGGATGCGACTGCCTTACACGACAGCGTCCTCGAAGTGCTTGTTTACAGAGTCACTGCCCCAGCCCGAGAAGACAATGTTTAACACATGTCAGCTTCCATTAATGTATATTCAAGGCTGAAAGTAAATAAAGACAAAAAATGAAGGGCACTTCCCTTTCCTTGTTCATGCCTTCACGAAAAAGCTGAACGATTCACATTCAGAAAGGAAGAGAAAGGTGCAGAGATTCCTGGGCAGTGGGAATGGGAGTTTCACTTTCCCTAGAGAAGCCGTAAGGGAGGGAGACCCCACCAGCTTAGCTAACTGGAACATACTCTGCAATGGGCTCTCATTGTATAGAGCTCTGAGGCATTTTGAGCATGGAAGTTCAGTTCTACCCACAATACCAGCCTCCCCCACCTGATGTCCTTCAGGTATGTTTGAAGATAACTCCTGTCAACCCCAGCCAGCACGTCTAATGCATGCAACACTGAATGTTCTGGATTTGGGTTTGTTGCCTTGTGATTGGACAGTATTGTTGAGGATTAAACAACATTGTTGAATAAGGCTTAGAGCAGAGGTAGACAACATGGTCCCTGCAACCACCCATGTGTCTCAGACACTTTTCTAGGACCTACCAAGGTGATCTAGCCTTCCCACATTTGACATTTTTAACTGGTCCCCAGACATGTCTGTTGCTGTGCCTTCCACGGCAATCATTTTGTAGTTATGGCCAGGACAGGTTCTCAAATTGCCAAATCTGCCCACAGATAATACAACTGATATGACTGTCCTATTATATTCTAATAGATTTGTCTCTGAAGGAAGAAGGGGAAAAAAGACAAACCTGGATAGCTTAGCCTTATATAATGAGTAAAAATTAAAATTTTAGGAAACCCAGCACTCCTTCCCAATATGTGTAATGAAAAGGCAGACCTTCCTAGATAAATCAAAATTATCTCACCTATGGCACTGTTAGATGTGTTTCTCCCACTAACTCCTCCCATCTTCTCCCATCTTCTATTCCCCTCCCTGTCCTATAGCAACATGCAATGGATTGGATTCAGACCTACTCATACTTTGAATAGATCAATTAGAATCAATGAATCTATTTTAAGTGTGACCAAATATGGCTTGAACTCCTTGTATGCACAGTGGGAACCATTTAAAGGCTGATTAATAGCTTATTTCCATGGTATAGATTATTTCCAGTGCAAAAGTCTTATTTCCTAACTTGTCATGACATCTAAAGTTCCATTCATGCAGTTCATAGATTGATTGCTATGAAGATATTGATCCAAATTAAGGGGAGAGACCTGGTGTATAAATGGATTGAAAGCAGAAACTCAAGGCTTGAAAATGCAGGGCAGTTCCTTCCAATAAGCAGAAACAAAGTCCTCTGCCTGACCTTTTTCTTTTCTTCTTTCCTTGCAGTGAATGAGGTCTCGTGCAACCCACAGGGTGGCTGAACATTTGGCAATAGACAACAAGGGCAGCAAACCATGTCAGGCTCCTACGATGAGTCTGTAGCATCCGCTGAAGAAATAACTGACAGCTTCTGGGAGGTAAGAATGAAAGGGATGCAGAAGCTAGAGACCATGGAATGAATCTAAGCTGCAAAGGCTCTAAATTCAACCTGCAGAGACTCATTTCTCCTCCATGGGACCTGTCCCCATGAGTGCCACCTCACTGGGGATTGTGAAGGATACATGGGAAGGAATCCTTATGGAGTTACCCACATTGCTGTTTCACAGTACGCAGGACTCCCTTGAAAGGGAAAACCCATATGGAGCAAAGCTGGGGTAAAGGTGACCGAGTCCATTTCACTACTCCAATAGAGCCATCCTCTGATGTTACATGGCCCAGAGAGGGCTTGCTGAGGGGTCATTGCCTTCCTAGTGAGGGTTCTCCATCCCTGCTGTACAGTATGCCATGCATACATACAATACAATATTGGCTAAGGAGAGAGGCACTCTAATCTATCCCTTTGAAGGTCCAGCCAAAGTTTTCCAGTGAGCTTCATGCAAATGAGCTTTTTCATTGGTGATGTTGGTTGAACTAGCAAGAAACTAGTTCTTGGCTTGAGAGAACCCATGGCTTGAGAGAAGAGAAGCTGTGTGTTGTCATAGGAAGGGCTGTCAATGCCATGGATCTGGCTGGGGAGGAAATGAGTAGAACCTTCTGGAGCCCAGTGGACATAATCATACAGGACTTCTGAAACTTTCCACTTTTGAACTGAGGTTCTTACACTCTGGTTCATCTATGCTTGTGAAAACATACACACCAGGATGAATGCTGAATGTCATCTGAACTTAAGGCTGACAAATATGGCACCCAGCTTCCCACTTTGTTGCTCATAAGAACAGGCTCATCCATCACATTCAAACAAGGCTACAGTTGTTAAAATACGATGTGTGCTGCTTTGTAGGACAAAACCTAAAACATGTTCAGTGGCCCACCAAGATTCCTCAGGAGTCAAGCAGTTGACAAGGGATTGGGGAGGGGGAGTTTGAGAGGTGCTGTGCTAGAATGTGTTCCAACACCTCAGGTAGGTTTCTTTCAGTACTCAGTTTCCAAAACAAGAGATCAGACCACTTCATTTCTCTTCAGTGATGCTTTCAGGTGGCCAGATCTGATTGACTAGTTAACACTAATGACATCCTCAGGCTCACTGAAGTGATCCTCAATTGACTGAAAGAGCAAGAGAGTGTCGCAGCAGAGGTTGTAGACAGGTAGAAAAGGAGATACATGATCCTCAAAGTGTGGGAGAGCAATAATCAGGAGCCATCTTTGCTTGACCAAAAAAACACACATTCCAGTCTGAAAATTGAAATTAGCACACATTTGGCACTGCCCTATTTGGAGCAATTGTGTTTATTATATCTCCAGATGCCCCAGAGCCAACTCTGGAAACAGATTCTAGGGCTTAGTCTCTGGGGGAAGCCCCTCGCAATTGTTCTTTTCCTGGTATTCGTGCAAACAGGAGAGATTTTAAAAATCTGTGGTCTATCCATTCTTGCTATTGCAGAAGAGGACCTGCTCTTAGACCAGCGGTGGGAACCACTAGCTTTCCAGATGTTGCCGAACCACAAGTCCCAACACCCTAGCTACTGATGGAAATGGGAGTCCAACAATTTATGTAGGGTTACAAGTAGCCCATTTGTGCCTTGGACAAGTGAGGCACAGACTCAGTGGCAAAGAGGTACAAAAATGGCCACAGAAACCACCTTTTCATCCAGACTAATTTGATTTCACTTTTTGATTGGGTAGACCCCCTGATACATTGCAGGGATGCTGTGGACATAATCTGTCTTGACTTCAGCCAAGCTTCTGACAAAGTGCCCCATGATTTCCTGATCAGCAAACTAGGTAAAAGTAAGCTAGATGGAACAACAGTCAGGAGGCTCCACAGTTAGCCACAGAGCTGGACTCAAAAAGTGCTTCTCATCAGCACCTTTTCAGACTAGGGGGAGGTAGCAAATGGAGTATCACAGGGTTCTACCCTGGGCCCAGTGCTCTTCAACATTTTCATTAATGATTTAGATGAGAAACTTGCAGGGAACAATTATCAAATGTGCAGATGGCACAAAACTGAGTGGGACAGCTAATACCCTGGAAGACAGGAAGAAGATTCAAGGTGATCTGGATAGATTGGAGTGCTGGGCTGAAAACGAGAATGAAATTTAATAGGACAAATGCCAAGTCCTGCACCTATGAAAAAGAAACCAAATGCAATATTACAAGTGGGGAATACTTGACTCAACAATATTGCAAGTGAGAAGGATCTTAGAATTGCTGTAGATCACAAGCTGAAAGGAATCAATGATGTGATGCGGCTGCAAAAAGGACAAATGGGCATGTTTAGCCTCAAGAAGGGAAGACTGAGAGGAGATGCAATAGTGGTCTTCCAGTACTTGAAAGGTTGTCACAAAGGGAATAGGCAGGATCTCTTTTCAATCATCCCAGAGGGCAGGACATGGAACAATAGCATCAAGATACAGGAAGCCAGACTCCAGCTTAGCATCCTGACTGTCAGAGCAGTATGATAATGGCACCAATGACCTAGTGGGCTCTCTCACACTAGAGGCATTCAAGATGCAACTGGACAGCCAGTTGAGAGGGATGGTTTAACTTGGAGTTCTGCACTGAGCAAGGAGTTGGGGCTGATGGACCTCTGGCCCCTTCCAACTCTACTATTCTATGATTCTATACACCAATATTTTTTGATGGAAATGCCGTGTCCCTCAGCCAACGCTTCACAAGCAATTCATTCTTTTCCTGCCCCTGGTTTGTGCTGTGAGCCAAGCTAGTGTCCAGGAATCTTTCTGGGTCTACAGCTAGTCACTGCTCTACATGTGTCTGACAGGTAGGGAACTACAAACGGACAGTGAAACGGATTGATGATGGATATCGGCTGTGCAATGACCTGATGAACTGTGTACATGAGCGGGCGAAGATTGAGAAGGCATATGCCCAGCAGCTGGTAGATTGGTCCAAGCGGTGGAGACAGCTGATAGAGAAAGGTAATTTTCACTCCTAACCATGTTTCCTATTACTGGGATGAAGGATGGATGGTAGGGTGGAGTTGAAATTTGCAAGATAGTGTCAGCTTTTCTCCCCAGGAATTTTGAAATTTGCAAGATAGTATCAGCTTTTTCTTCTTGGTTTAATATCTCCCCAGGAATTTCTTCAGTTTAATTAGTTTCATTTGGAAGCTTTATTAATACGGACTTGATGGCCTGTAATGGAAACTGCCATGTCCCCATTAAAAAAGAGCCTCCCCAAACAATTACGTGTTTATTTTGAAATGTATTATTTCCAGATAAACATTTGGCCCAAGACTTTTCAATCAACAATGTTGTGAATTAGAAGAATTATTCTAAATTCAGTATATTAAATCATTCATAAAAACAAGTTGGAGCAACATTAAAACCTTGTGGTTGTCATACACACCACAAAGGTTTCAAAACTGCCCTTCCTTTTCAAGCAAATATGTGTTTACTAAGCACCAAGTCCTACTGCATTCAGTTGGACCAAATGACAAATAGGGGCCCATATAATTGCCACCTCACTTGTATACTTATACTTTTGTAAGGCCAGTGCCAGCACCAAGATATTCCATTCTTGCAAGTCCAATGCCAGCACTCAAGATATTCCATACTGGAGGGCAGGAAGTGTGACCTTACCAGGATATGATAGGCCAAGCTAAATATGAAGAGGGAGATCTATGATGGGTGTTTGGATTTCTTAAAAATAAATAATACTCTCATTCTATTGCTTTGAAGATTCAGGAAGGGCTATAAGGGGATGGGGTGCTCAGCCCTGCCCCAATGGCACTTCCCCAATCTTCCAAGCGATCTCAGGGGTCTGCCGATTACACAAATTCACTGTATTGTCCTCATTGTCCTCATATTCCAATATACTGGTTTAAAAACAGTGAGGTGAGATACATACTCCAGTGTTGGACAGGGGAGTGCACAACTGCATAACGTAAATGTCCACAAATGAAAATGGTGAAGTCTGCAATTAGAGTGCCTTGATATTCTCCCAAGCACTGCCATGGCATGCTTCCTAGCTCTCCGCCAGTTTTTCTACAAGAAAAATGGGAAAGAGGATAGCGCCTTATCCTGTGGCTGATTATGAGCATGTGTTGTCTGTAAGAGAAGGACAGGCTGTTATTTCAGATGCCAAATGGTTACCCCAGTTTTGCTGGTTCTCTCGGTGCACAGGCCCACAGTATGGCAGTTTGGAGAAAGCATGGATGGCCATAATGACAGAGGCAGACAAGGTGAGCGAGTTGCATCAGGAGGTGAAGAATAGCTTGTTGAATGAGGACTTCGAGAAAGTGAAGAACTGGCAGAAGGATGCCTTCCACAAACAGATCATGGGAGGCTTCAAAGAGGCCAAGGAAGCAGAGGATGGTTTTCGGAAAGCACAGAAACCTTGGGCCAAGAAGATGAAGGAGGTAGGAAGAATGGAGAGGGGAAGGGCAACGTGCCTCACAACTTCAGTAGTTTTAAGGAGGAAAGAAGCCCGACAGCTTCCTTGAATAGTAGTTGAAATAACACTCCCAGTCTCCAGGGTGCTTCCAGTTGTGATTTTTATTCTGCAATCCTCCTTCATTCATGGAATTTGACAGGGGCCGTAGATAATCATGTCTTCAAGACGTAACTTCCCATGTTTCCCCACCATTTTTTCTATCCTTTTCCTTAGCAGAGATAATCTGTTAAGTAAAAGAGTCAACTGCACAAGACTTTTTGACTGGGATGTTAGGAGACCTCCATCTGAAGCAACCACAGAAGCATAGCAGGAGACATGAGCTGGGATCTCTTTTTCTCCCCAAGGACTAAGTAATACCTGCAGGATAATATGAAGGTCACCAGCATGGAAAGGAGAATATTATGCATTATGTTCACGGTATCTGTTAAGTTCCACCTTTAGGGTTTAGGTAATTCCTTCAGAGATCTTTCTGCATCTAAATGCATCTGGTCCTGATGAAGCAATAATTCTACTGCTATAAATCTGTTTGCCTGGTGATGGTCTCAGAATCTGGACACTCGAAAGGTTTAGTATTAAAAGAGATGTCCAGCCATCATTGTTGCAGAGAAAATATTACAATGTGCTGACATGGCTAAATTAAGAAGTACAAACTATGTAGTTTGTAGAGTTTACTGCAATAACCAGAAAGAAGCTTCGAAATACATACATGGGATGCTCTACTTAAAAAAAAAAAATCATAGTAAGTTTTATTAAGAGGTAGATGCTTTGCAATGGGGAAGGATTTTCTTTGGAGTAGATTGTTAGCTGCAGTCTTAACGCAGAGGCTTCGAAAGTGATGGGGTATGAAACCTTGCACTGAGACTGGCTTCTTTTCCTTCTGTCTCAACTCAAACCAGCTTGAGGCAGCTAAGAAAGCATATCACCTTGCATGCAAAGAAGAGAAGCTTGCATTGACTCGGGAAGCCAACAGCAAAACTGAGCAGTCCATCACCCCAGACCAGCAAAAGAAGCTGCAAGACAAGGTGGAAAAATGCAAGCAGGATGTGCAGAAGGTAGGTGTGACTTCAACCAAGGGAACTGAAGAATCAATGCCTAAGCACCCACTAATGGGAACATTATTTATTTATTCGTTCAACTTATATGTCACTATACTAGTCCAAGTGGATCACATAAAATAACAATATTTCATAAAATAACCATAATAAAAACAACCTACAATAAAACAGAGAAATATGCAGCCAAGGACAGATATTCATCAGTTAAAATATATTAAAGGTAAAAACAGTATAAATAAAATCAATTATTAAAATAACTGGAGAAGAGGACTGTTTTTGTCTGGCGCCAAAAAGACTGTAAAGATGGTGCCATGCGATCTACTTTTGAAAAGCCATTCCATAAATGGGGCACAGCCACTGAGAAGGCCCCTCTTCAATTTGCTATCCTCTTCACCTCCCTAAAGGATGACTCACTCATAAGGGCCACCTCACCAGTTCTCAGGGACTGGGTAGATATATATGGGAACAGGCAGTCCTTCAGGTATCTCGGTCCCAAGCCATTTAGGGCTTTCTATGTTAGTACAAGCACATTAAATTGGCCGTGGAGCTGGATGATATGGGTGTGTGAACTTGTTTGTACCAGCAGTCACACCACTCTATTCTGTACCAGTTGAAGTTTAGTGACCATCTTCAAGGACAGCCTCACATACACCGTGTTGCAATAGTCAAGCCGAGAAGTTACCAGAGTGTGTGTAACTGTGGCTAGGCTCTACCTGTCCAGTTAGGGCCACAGTTGGTAAATTAGACACAGCTGAAAGAAAGCGTTCCTGGCCACCTAGTCTACCTGAAAGCCAAGTGATAGTTTTGGATCCAGGAGCACCCCCAAGCCATGAACCCTGTCCTTCAGGGGGAGTGCAACCCCATCAAGGACAAGTTGAAGGCCCACCCTCTGGGCACGCAGATCATCCACCAACAGCACCTCAGTCAAATCTGGATTGAGTTTCAATTTATTGGCCCTCATCCAATCCATCCAGCTTGACAGAGACTGCCTCACCTGGGTTAGATGAAAATGAGATGTAGAGCTGGGTGTCATCAGCATATTGATGACACCTCAGCCCCCACCTCCAAATGACCTCTCCCAGTGGTTTCGTGTAAATATTAAAGAGCATGAAGCTACCTTATACTGAGTGAGAGCATCGGTGTGTCTAGTCTAGCACTGAGGACATTGACTAGCAGTAGCTCTCCGAGGTTTCAGGCAGGAGTTCTTCCGGCCCATCTGGAGATGCTACAGATTGCACTGGGACCTCCTGCATGCACAGCATATGCTGTACCACTAAGATATGGCCCCTTCTTATGTACATTCATTCACAGTTCATTCTTTCATGCAAAGAAACAACAATCCAGCCTCCCTCACAGCTAACCATCACACACAGAAATGTGCATACACAGAAGACATAGGTACAGACATAAATACCAAACATGCACCATTTCTTTTGCAATACTTCCTCATACACAACCATGAATCACCTTTCTCATGCACTTGCCCATCCTTACAAGAAAGGTCCCTTATCATGCTTCTGAGTATATATACACCCTTTCCGTTCTCTATGCCCACACTCCTCTGACAATGGACTTTCATGCCAATGCATACAGTTCTCGCGTGTATACTACTCCATATACATGTACATTTCTACATCTTATGTATCCGGTTACATACATTCTTCTCATATTTGCAACTGCATCAGCTTTCCTTACACACTTCAGGTGTGCACGTCTTTTCTATGTCATATAATCTGGCTGTAAATAGAAGAGCACTGTTTTATCAAGCATACCCAAATCACTGCTGTGTCCCCCACAAAACTAGCCTTTTAATGCTTGAAATTTAATTCTTGAAATTCAGTAGCACTAGAAAAAACATGGTGCTGGACCTACTCCTCACTTTTTTGCCTCTCTCCACTGTTGCAAGGCAAAGCCTGCACTGTGCATGCCACAAACAGGAGAGAAGGGGCAGGCAAATGAGAAGCTATATGACCATGGACTGGAGAAATAAAGCCTTACAGTCCCCATCTAGGAAATGCAATTGGGCACTGCCTTCCAGCTGAGCGCTCTCAACTTGAGGGACACAAGCTGTTACTTTGTAGGCTGCACTCTCCCCCTACATGTACCCACCGGGTCTTCTGCGGGCTAATCCCACTCTCACATTCAGTTAGTCTTCTTGACAGGAAAGTTATGTATCAACCTCTTTTATGGATTTTCAAAAGTCATTTTTTTCTTTTAAATTACTTCCAGCTTTGTGCAAAACTTGGAGAAATCACACCAAGGGCAGGCACAATCTCAGCCGATTAAAGCACAGTCCTGTGTTGTTGCCCATAAACCTTTGGACTTGGAAGGCAACGAACATCCAATTAAGCAGGGGAGGCTTGCCTCTGAGCTCCCCTTACACTGGAAACCAGTTAGATAGTCAATTTCGCCCATCCAAATGCTTTCCCTCTCCTCACAAGAATGAAGGACCGAGACAGTTCCTGGATTTGGCAGGAGCTGGTGGTGCCCTCAGAATGCCCCCCCCCCCCAGTGGTGCCTCCCTGTCCCCAGAACATCCCCCAGCCCTTGTCCTGAAGACTTTTCCTCAATTGTTATGATGATCCTGCAGTTTCCTACGGCTGGCCTGAAAGGATCTACCAGTCATAGGATTGTGCTGTAATAAGAGTAGAGTAAGAGGAAAAGAATAGGAACACAGACAAAATCATTTTCCAGCTGTTGGTGCTCTTGGGCTTTAGCGTTATTGTTATTAAAATAGTTATTGGAATTACTGGTAACTATGGTTTACTATTTAGTGCAAATTAGTTATTTACAGGTTTTTATATCAGCTGTCTTTTCTTCTTCCATATCCCACCTGAACTACTATCAAAACCTCTCTATCAGTTCTTATCACTGTCAGAACTGTGATTAAGAAGAAATCCAAAATTAACTTGGGACCGCCATTCTAATATGTTTCTATAATAAATTTCACCCACATTTGCCTTTCTTCAAAGCAACATCTTTTCAGTATAGATGGCTAGGACCGACAGTAAAATTAATTTTAATAGAGTACTGACCTGGAAGAAAGCCATAATGCAGATGCATTCTTAAGACTGGCAACATTATGCAGATTTATTTGGGAGTAAGCCCTATATCATTATATGGGACTTGCATTAAATAATCTTGCACAGGACTGGTCTGTAAAAGTTGTAGTACAGTATAGTGAAGCTAACTATGTTTAAGCACACTGAATATCCAGTCCAGAAAATCTGTCTAAGCCATAGATGGACAGAAAGTAGATCTACAGATTTTTGGGTGTCAGCTCCCGGCACTCCTGATGACTGGCAATGCTTGTGTTGGTTTATTGGCATTGATGTCTAAAACATTTGGAATCTATCTTCTGCCCACTTCTGACCTACCTGAATTATACTGGGTTGGAGATCTTAATCTTACCTTTCTGTTGCTCCTGCAGACTCAGGAAAAATATGAGAAGGTTGTGGAGGAACTGAGCAAGTGTACCCCACAATACATGGAGAGTATGGAGCAGGTCTTTGAGCAATGCCAGCAGTTTGAAGAGAAGAGACTCAGCTTCCTGAAGGAGGTGCTGTTAGATATCAAGCGGCACCTGAACCTGGCAGAGAACAGCAGGTATATCACCTTCCATTGAAACTCTGCAGTAGTGAAGTGGGAAACTCTTTGCTGAGAGGGATGCTACCTTCATGAGCACTTCCATCATGCTCACCTTCATTTCCATTCAGTGTTGCTGGATATGTATGTATGGAAGCATCTCTTGTACTAACTTCAACACCAAATAACCAGGCGAAGACCTTTTTATTTATGCAGCATTTTAAATGTTAATATTATTGAATTTTATTCGGCCAGGGCGGCTTATTTTATTTTACTGTATATATTTTAATTGTCATTGTTTTAATGTATTTTGTATTCAATGTTGTAAGCCGCCCCGAGGCCTTGGCAAGGGGCAGCATAGAAATGTTTTAATAAATAAATAAATAAATAATAAATAACAACTATGGGGAAAGTGTATCCCCAGAGGGCATACAATGTGATGCAGGGGAACACCACTCTGCCATTGCACCTCGGGCCATGCAAACTAGGCAGTCTTCGCTAGTGCCGCTCTCATGTCTGCCTGCCTGCCATGCTGTGTGACAATGCAGGGATGGGTTCTCATTCACCAGAGGTCTTTGAACAAAGACTAGGAATCCACCTGTTTGGCATGCTGTAGTCCTGGAGTAGCAATCCCTTTTCAACTCTATGAATCTACAGTGTGTCTGGGATGACAAAAGACTCAGCTTAAGGCATGTTTAGTTTGCAGAGACTGGATGTACTCAGGCTGAGCTAAAAGGAAACAGTAGCCGGTGAAATGTTGTAGAAGTCTGGAGCTGACCACATTCAAGAAAGTGCTAGAGTCCAGCATTTCAGATCTTTCCTTCAGCCATAACCATATCAGCACAAGAAGCAGAAAGAAGTGGTAAAGTCATTACATATCAGGTGGACTGTACCATTTCCAAATGAAGGTGGAATCCCTGCTACCCATCTGGAGGTTGTATCCTTCCTAGAAATACAAATCGAGAACATCTGTGAAAACAGTCTAACCTGGCCTTCCCTGCACTAATGTTCTACTTGCAGAGGATTTATGTAAAGGGAAGTATTTAAGATTCCCAGTTGCAGTCTTAAGTGATGCAATCAATTCTGCTATTTCAGCCCCTCCTCCTGCAACTAGATCCAGCCATAGGAGAAAAAAGGAGAGAGAAGAGTTGGCATTTCCAGTGTTAACAAAATTCCAATGCGATGGAAGGCATTGTTCCCATTCTTCTATTAGTATAAATCTATTCATGATAATAAAACAGTCAGTGTAATACCTGAACACATATAAATATACTTAATGGTCTGCATGTCAGGAAGTGCTCCTCTGAAATACTTTGGTTAAATTATTTTAGCAATACCAGTGTTTGTTCTTGAAACTTGCTGTATGCCTGGCATTTTACAGACAAATGTCCTATTGCATTCCGTGAGCTACAAGGAAATGATACAGGAGCTACAGACAAATAGCTGCAGGCTACTCCCAATTCAGTGCCTGCTGAGGGAAATGTTATCCATGGATAACAACCATATCTTTGGCATGGATGCTCAGACATCACTATAAGTCACAGATGAGAAAACAGCAAAGAAGCATTTCATCTTTCTTGGGGTGCTTCTAGAAGAGCCAGTCAAAAGACATTGTGCAGCTATTCCATCTTTTCCTCCTGAAAAGTTTCTGGACTAAGAAAAAAGTATGGAAGTGGTGAGGGGAAAACATGGTTACAAATAGAAGACAATGACATTGCATGGTCCCTCTAAATTTCTAAGTGAGGCAGCTGGTGATTATATAATGAAAACCCCATCCTGAATTTCCCCTTGTATTTTAAACGAGAGAACAATTGTTGGGCAGACATGCGTGTGTCACTGGTGCCCCCTTGTGTTTGATGAGAGCAATCTGACTGCTGTTTTCCTATTTTATAAAAGCTTGTGTGGGCAGCCTGAGGCCCTACTGATGTTGCTGGACTCTAGCACCTATTAGCCCCATCCAGCATGGCCAGTGGCCAGGATTTTAGGGGGTGGAGTCCAACAACTTCTGGAGGTCGCAGATTCCCCACCCTTTCTTTAACAATCTGGGAAACTGCTGTGTATGAGGCCAGGTCACTGGTTCATCTAGCTCACCTTTACCTACACTGACTGGCACCAGCTCTTCTGAGTTTCAGGTAAGACTCTTTCCCTGCCTTACCTGAGGATGCCACCCATTCAACCTGGGACCTCCTGTATGCAAGGCACATGCTCTACCTTTGAGCTATGGTCCTCCCACTCCCCTGCTGGATTCCTACTTCAGTCATGTCTAGTTTTGAGTAGAATGTGTTGTCTTATACTTCTGTTTATGATATACAGCTATTCTAAAGTCTACCGTGAGCTGGAGCAGACCATCCGCGTGGCTGATGCTCAGGAGGACCTGCGCTGGTTCCGCAACACGAGTGGCCCAGGGATGCCTATGAACTGGCCACAACTAGAGGTAAGAAACTATTCTCTCAGGAATGGCTGCATTAGTAGATTGAACAGCTTCAGCTCTTGATGATTTGTCAAAAGTGACTGGTCATGATCATTTTCTGGATCCTCAGAGCAGATGTGAACCTCCAATAAACACCAGCTGCTGGGGAGCAATAACTAGAGAGGTTGTATTATTATTATTATTATTATTATTATTATTATTATTTAAAACATTTCTATGCTGCCCCCATCGCAACAAAGCCTCGGGGCGGCTCACAACAAAAACAAACAAAAGCATATAAAAATTATACAATAAAAATATTAAAACCCGGTGCATCTCGGCTTAATTTAAAAAAAAAAACTACATAATAAATTAACAATTAAAATAAGTTTTAAATAAAAAGCTCTTAGCCTGGCGCCAAAAAACAAATAATGACGGTATTTGGTTTTCCCAGAGACATCTGGCAGCCTCCAGCAAGAAAGAGGATACTGGACTAGGGCTCAGCACAAGTGGACTTAGAAGAAAATTAGTGCAGGGCTGCTGTTATGAGTTCACGGCATGTTTCTTCACCTGCAGGAGTGGAATCCAGATGCAACGCAAACGATAGCCAGGAGAGAGAAACCTAAAAAGAATGAAGCAGGCAATACATCCAATGCCAGTGCGGGTGGGGAGGCTACAGCACAGGCTGGGGACCGCGGCAGGTCAGTATGCCAAGCATCCTCCAGTGGGTCTTCTGGTAACATTTATACCAGAAGGAATAGGAGGGTTTGGGCAAAACGTATCATGGCAGTAGAATCCAGGATCAGCTGTTGTCCCCTAGCATTGGATATCACTGAGTACTTTACACACAACATCCGTTTTCATGTCTCCATGTTGCCATGTCAGTGTGAGCAGCTATGAACGTGGCCAAGCCTACGCTGCAGAGTGGTCAGATGATGAAGGCGGCAACACCTACAACTCCAGCGAAGCCAACGGCGGTGCCAACTCCTTTGAGGAAGATTCAGCTGGGAAAGGCGTGCGCGTACGAGCTCTGTACGATTACGATGGGCAGGAACAGGATGAACTGAGTTTCAAAGCAGGTACGGCATAAAATGTGATAAGCTATGGCTATTCGGGAGGTAATGAGGCCCTCTGAGCCTGAGCAGAGCAGTGATCAGAGACTGTCTTTCAGATCTTTCAGAAATTTCTTCCCACAGTGGATGTCTCGTTTTAGGACTTTAGCTAACATGTGTCCTAGCAACTGCCTGTTCTAAAAATATATGGAACTACAGCAAAATTCAAGAATGGAAAATAGATCCACTCTGCCTTTTTTCCTCCTTAAAATCCTTACAAAGTTCAAGTCCCTTATACATATTGGCAGCCTATTCTCTTAATTGTAGTGTTATCTAAAATAAGATGGGTTGTTTAGAAAGCACTTAGGCTAACACCTGACACCATTAGAAGGCTTGAAATAGCCTCTTCTTTTAGCTGGCCCCCTTAGTACAGGGGTGCACACTATTTTTGACCTGAAGAGCTGTCACAGGTGACTTCCAGAGTAGTGAAGTCCACATACACCAGTCACAAGGGCACAATCCTATGGCCAGTAGACACTGCCCAGCTGGCCACAGGAAAACATGGAGTCCCTTCTGCAGCCTTGGAAAACTCAGTTGAGGTTGTAGCAGGAACTCCCATGTTGGAAAGTCACCTGGCCACAGCCCTGAAGATGGAAGACTGTCTTTGGGACATGCACTGAGGCTATATTCTGGGGGCAAGGAGGAAAGGAGTAAGGCATTGCCACTGTCCTGCCTCAGCTGCTGCTACTCATGAGGAGGAGAACATTTAGATGGACAAAATCAGCCATCTCATTGGTTTTTTTGGACAAGGGGAGTGCAAAGGCCATCATAGCCTCCACATGTCTGCCATGTTTGCTTGGATCATAATCACACTGGCTTGTGCTCTTAGTTGTCTAAAGCATCCTGCCAAGCTGGAAGACCAGAAAGATATCAGAAAGCTGGAAGATATCGGGTGTGGATATATGTAAGATGGACATTTACACCACTAGCATTTCAGTTGTGCCAAGCGCACCAAACCTAGCACCTTTCTTAAAGGGATAATTTAAGAATTAAATTAAATTCTTAATTTAACTCCACCTTCAAATGCATATAACAAGGCCCCAATTTTATTATTTAATCAAAAATACTCATGAGTAGCTGAACTTGAGGAGACGCAGAGGACAGGTGCTTTATTCATTCTTCAATGACCATTTTTCAGCTCAAAAATTTATCAAAGGTTAAACATGTATCTGGAACAATACAGGGAAAGATCTATTTTCTCTTCGATAGAAGAAAAATGGCCAATGGGGAAATGATTAGACACACATTCATTTGTGTAATTTGATCTTACTCTGGTAGAGGGATGGTATCACAACAAATCCCAATTTTAATTTGTTGTTATTGTCCTAGGTGATGAATTAACCAAATTAGGTGAAGAAGATGAACAAGGGTGGTGCAAAGGTCGCCTAGACAATGGGCAGCTTGGTCTTTATCCAGCTAACTACGTGGAATCTATCTAATTTTGTCATGTTCTCACTGCTGTCAGAAAAACAACCAACCCTCTGTCATTTCCCATCTCTCTATGCCAGCCAAGTAGCCATCTTGCCGTCCAGTCACTCACTCAGCAGTTAGAAATCTAAATGTATTTTCCAATCAATCCTTTATTTTTTTAATAGCCATCTCTGAAGAGTATTTTGTGGTCGCTTTAATCTTTTTTTGAAATAATAAGATACAAAAGGTCGATACTGTCTACAGAGGGCTTGTCCTGTTAGTGAAAGTCAATACCTCAAGCCTTTAAAACCAATCCAATGAGACTTCTGATTGGTTGGTTTTAAGGACAATGTGTTATGACCCACATTCCAATTGGCTTGAACTATTTGCATCCCCTGTCACTTAAGTTACTGAGGCCAATCAACCCCCTGAATAGAATGAAACAAAAATAGGGAGGAAATGAAGTATACCCTCATTAATTTGTTATTTCTTTCTACCCCTCTCCCTTCTGTACCCCCCTCTTTTTTTCTTTTTTCTTTTGGTCTTTTCTTATTTTGAAAAGGAAAAGACAAATACTCTTTGCCTTCTCCAAAAAACCACAGTCATATTCTTATGCTGTAATATTTCTGTTGCTCCGCTGATCACTCAGAACCATTGTATTAACTGAGAGTGTATGCCATGAATTAAAAGGTTCCCTCCACAGTGCCCTGAGATTCCATTTCCCCCATGAGAACGGGACATGTAATGGCTTCCCATTCCTATAGTTTAGAGACAAGCAGAGGCTCTGAAAACAATGTGGACATCCTATGCCAATCATCGAAGTGTATGGCTCCTTTTACGTGGCTTCTCTTGAGTACTGGTGACCTGATCAGGTGGCGGGACAATGCATGTCTTTAATACTCAAACATAGCATAGGTATCTCTGCTGCTTTCAGTCTGAGAGCTCTCTACTGAGGCAGAAAAAAGAGTCCACCAGGCTTTGATAGAGAAATGCATTTAATGTGATACAACTCCAAAACTTTATTGGAAACTGATTACACGTCAGATTTACATTCTTGAGATTGGCCATTAAGTTGTTGAGGTTGGAATGCTGGTGGAAGCCCGCCTTGGAAGGAGATCTAAGTCAAGGAATGTGTTTCATGAACCACTCAGAAACTGGTTGGAAATACCACGCACTAAATAGAGCAGGGAACTGGGAGCAGGGCTAGGTCCCCCATACCGGGATGTTGCAGCTGCATCTCCATTGTCAACTGGAGGAGGAGAGCCATCAGCATAGAAGATGCATGATAAAGGAAGCATGCAGCAGTTGGTGTGGTATCATGAGCAGCACATGGCATGGAAGGCATTCAGTAGCTGACATGGATTTGTAATAGGCATTAGTACCAGTGCCAGACAAAGGTTATCCTAAAGGTGGTGGAAAGAAGAGGCCAGTTAGATTTCTATGCCTGTTTGCTATGGACAAAAACATGCAGCTGAATTTGTACATGGATTTGCAACTTTGTTTCAGAGCCAGGGATACAACCAGGTAAGTGAAGGAGTAGAGAAATACAGAGAAATCACTGAAAAGACCCAGTTACGGGTGAGATGCTATGTCTACTTCAGGTAGAATTAATAGATTGCTAAGGGGCATTTTCATCATGAGTTCCTGAAGGGTGGGAAGGGGAATCAAATTTGATACTTTTTCCTATTTAATCAGGAATTCTTTCAGCTGCACAATGTAAATTTTTCTGTTTAAATTATCATTTTTCTCATCTACTTGAACCCAAATACTTTGAAATGGGGAGCTGTATCTGTGGATGCCTAGAACTTAGTTAAATGGAAACTCAAAACCTTAAAGTTTCTTGCCACATGGATCAAACATTGATCCACTTTACTCTCCAAAATTATTCTGGGTTTATTAAAGACCAAAAGGGATTTCTTTCAAATAGCTTGTGCTTGTCAGAAACAAGAAACTGGTAAGGAATAGGCATGTTCCTAAACCAGACAAAAGTTGTATTTTCCCATCTTCTGCTTTCCAGATCCTTGACAATTGTCTGAGGAGAAACTGCTTTTTGCAATGGAAAGAGCTAATGCAGTAAAATTAGCATAGGATGACAAAAATCTTCAGAGAGTCCTTTAGCACCTTAAAAGCTAACAGGTTCGTTGTGGCATAAGCTGTCATAGTAATCAGATGCAAGGATAACAATTTCAGTCCTCACTATGTTTGGCTAAAGATATTCTTGAACTTTAAAACTGGAAACTAAACATCTTTAAGCTTCAGGAACTTCTCCAAGGGTTTTGCTATTAAATAAAGAACCTTTACTACTTTAAGGGCCCTTCTGTGCTTAATGAGTTGGATCTTCCCAAAAGCCCTTCAGGTGCTCAAGAAATGAGCACCTGAAAAGTGAACAAAGGAACAAGTGAAATGATCTTACTACCTAGATATTGGCCAGCAAAAACATCTATTGAGAATGTCTCCCACACAAACCTCAGTGAATAGAAGTTGTATTGATTTTAGTGTGTGTGTAGGGAACCTTCCTAGTAAGTTTTGCCTGATGAGAGTTTCACATTTTGTTTTCCTGTTGAGCATCAAGCATTTGCCAAAATGTTAAGGTGAGAAATTGCAGCACTTTTCTAAGTAGCACTGGAAGTGTCCCTGCTACCGGAGAAGAACCAACACCTCCCTAGAGCTGGGTTTATTCTTAAACCCAGAGTTTTTAGAGGGTGGTCATGGAATGAATTGCTCAGGAATGTCAGGAATGTCCCTAGTCAGAATAACTAACTTTGTCATATTCCATAGAAATTACAACAGCAACAGGACAGACTGATGTTAATTAGAACACTCTTCATGGGCTGAATGCTGGTCTCTGTCAACTATTCCCATATCCTGAACAAAAGGGGAATTGCACAAATCAAAGGGATCCTTCTGCAAACAGAAGCAACTTCCATTCATGGTCAATGCTGTTAAATTCCCTGTTTTAAAACCAGGTTGCATCTATCAAAAAAGTACATGGCCAAAAGAGAAGTAAAACAGTTGTTGAAACTGCCAGCAAAGCTGAATTAGATGCAATCACTTGATGCAATCACCTCCAAATCTTTGGCCACAATTTCATCCCTGCCTGCCTGGCTGGAGTTACATGATGGAAATTGCAGTCTAACAATATCTGGTGAGCCCACAGTTTTCTCGCCCCTGTTTTAAAGGAGAAAGTATGGCTTAAATAAGGTTTGAAACTTTCCATATATCCAAAAATCCCTCAAATGCAGACATTCCTTTTAGACTGTCTATTCAGGAATTGTTGGATAAGTGGTTGTTTTTTCTAGCAAGGTTTGCATACCTATACTCTTTCTCCAAGAGAAAGGAAGCTGGAATAATCACTCTTTAGCTTTCCTTGTGTTTTTACCTTCTCAGTCTTCCTTACCACTGGGGGCAGGGAATCTTTGCCTTTGCTCAAAGATAAGATTTCCTGTCTAAGAAACTAAAAAAAGGATTATGGTAGGATAATTTACAGTGAAGCCTTGGCAGGCTTTATCCTGGTCCCTTTCCTCAAATTAACAAAATATCCCTTTCATTAATGATGGAAATAATAATCAATGCTGCACGTTGTCCTACTTTTGGTTGAAATATTTGAACGATGGAATCCTATCACTCTATCATCCAACTACCTCCCTTTGACTAATCTGTTTCTTTCACACATCCCATCTCACAAAGCACAATACTTTTGCTTCTGTTTTCCAGAAATCGTTCCATGCCTGGTTACACACTCTAGCACATTTTGATAACATTTCTTTTGTTAACAATGCCCCATTCCATTGGATTCATTCTCCTGGGGCTTGTGGCTGCTTTAGTTTTGTCTAGGTGGTGTTTCTCTTTTCATGATGACTCCCAGGGTCTTTCCCCGAATGCCAATAGTCAGTCTTTTCCACAGCAATCCCATAGTTTCCTTATAAACACCCAGTCTTGGCTCCTCCAATGCAATCTGTTTATCTTACAAATTCTTCAGCCCAGTGACCAGGTGTTGTTCCTGAATGAATCAAATATGCTGCGTACTGTAGACAAGATTTTTCCGACCTTCAAATATTTTTTTTGTTTTGTTAGGTTAAGAAAAGAAAATTGAATGCTGTTGTCTCAGCAATGCACCTGTTTTGTACATTGACTGTGTAATTTAAAACTAAAAGAGATTGACTGTATTACTGTGTATAAAAAAAGATGACTGATCTATGTAAATGTTATATGGATTTTAATTCTTGATTGATTCTTGTACTCTTAACATCTCCAGATGTAGCTGTAGCTGTCATGTTTACAAAATGAGTTTTATTGTTGGAATTGATCAAGCCACAGGGGTGAACAAGAGGATTGTTCTGACTTCTAGACTGCTGGCTGATACTGAACTTCCAATCTAAATTCACTTTCAATGTTCCAACTCAAAATTCAGTTTGACCTCCAGACCAAATGTGATACCAAAAATCAACCTCTGGCCTATCTGACAGTTGAATTATATAGCACAAGGTGTGACAAAGCTCTGTTTAGTTTTCACAGTGCTCAAAATGTTTTCAGTAGCTCCATCTGAATCTAACATAGAAAGTAGATCTTTGGGTAGCTTGACATCGGTTTTCACATTAAGCACTGTTTTCTAACTTGTGCTCTGCTTGGAAAGGCCTGAGTTTACATTTCCCCCTTTGGAAGGGGAGGTACAAAACTGAAAATTAAGATGAGAAAGGGGAGCTGATTATGTCTATTTGGCATCTAATGGTAGATGAAAAAACAGGATTTACAGAAAGTTTTGATTCCTGCAGAAAGAATTTCCAGCTGAAATAGGCCTGATCCTGCTCCACCACCATCCTTGTACCACCACCAAGGTATTAACAGATGACAACATGTCCCAGTAATGCAGGTTTTCCCCCATCCCATCCCCAATTCTTGCTGAGAATAAAGCAGAGTTGTGCTTCTTAACAGAGTTTACTGACATTCTAAGGGCCGATTCTCACACCCATCTCTGGAATGGTAGTTGTGCCTCTTTCCAAGCAATTATGTGCATGGAGGCAGTTGTGTCAAAACCGACATAGTCAGAACTCCATACGCATTGACTTTTAGCATGCTGATCACAGAATGGCTGCCTGAGCACCTGCAACAGGATGCTCAAAGTCACTGCAAAATATTTGCAAACCTCAGCATTTGCATGGCTACTTCCATGTACCTCCAAACAAAGGGACTGAAATACAGTACGTACAGTAGAACAGAAGTCCTGAGAATCGGCTGCTATATTCATCCTGCAACCATGAATGCTGAGTCCAAAACAAGAGGGGAAGATAGAATGGCCTCTTGGTTGAATCCTTCTGATTAAAGCCCTGTGGGACTAGGGAGGAATGAATTAAGCTAAACACAATTGTCATTGTCAGCAAAGCTACATACTATCAGAGGGAGAGTTATATATCTGTGTCATGCCAGTCTGCCTCTTCTTCCATAAAGAGCAAAAACTATACTTAAGAAATACAATAATAAAATGATTATTTTATTCATGCACAGTGTGTTGTGTTGGTGCAGATTATAGCATAGCAAATGCCAACTCCATTTGGGTGACTTGGTGCAGCACAAAATAGTACTCCTATACCTTTGACAGCTACGTAGAGGAAAGAATTTTAGCTGATGCTGTTGGATACCTCAAAAGTAAAAGTCAAGTGAAATTACCTCTTTTATGAAACTCTTACGTCCAGGAGATCCCTGTTGCATTGAGCCTTCCCCAATTTAACATCCTCCAGCTGTATTGGACTAAACTCCCATTATTATCAGGCAGCTCATAGTGGCTGGTGATGGCAGGAGTTGTAGTCCCAAGGTGGAAAGGCTTGCAAGATATATTTTGCTTTCCAGTAGAAACCTGCTATCCAACAATCGGAGTCTGGTGCAAAAGACATAGCATTGCAGCATTATGAGCCCAATAATGTGTTGTGAGTACCAGAAAGTGTGGAGCTCACAGTTCCACACAAAAAGATGCCTTGGTTATACAAATTCATTTGTGTGGCATGAATGGGGCCATTTGTTGCTACTATTGTTAAACAACCAGGAGTGAGAAATCATTCCTCATCTGTAACAAATCACCAGAAAATCCACACTTATTTTCTGCCTCTGTTGCAATCCAACGTATCTGAAGGGGACCAGGTTGAAGAAGACTGATACATTAGATCTCTTGAGGCCAGTTGTTCATATTCACAGGTGCTACCAAAATTTCATCTAAAAAGTATTTCAAAGCAAAACATCTGGACTTTGAGATAAGCCAGTGGAGTTATGTTAAAACAGGTGACTTTTCTCAGAGGAGGTAACAGTTTGTCTCTCAATTTCACCTAAAACTAAACCAGAGGCAAAATACAGTGTTCTTCATCAGACAGAACTTCTACGAAATTTCAAGAGAAGCAACAGTCCAAACATGTTCTAAGATTAGTATAATTATTTCAAAGTTTAACACATACCTACGTGCAATTGTTTCACAATAACATTTGTGCATACACCCGTGCTTCTGAAGATGGTGTCATTCTTCTCATTAATGTATTAGATAGAATACAATATCTCAAGTGTGGTCTATAAGAGTGCTGAACTGGGACTTGAGAAATCCAGATTCTAGTTCTCACTTGGTCATTTATTGATTTAAATATTATACCACCCAAAGCCAAACCTCTCTGGGCAGTTTACAACAGTAATGAAAGCACACTGGGTAACTCTGGAACAGTCACCTTCTCTCATTCTAAGCTACCTCACAAGGTTGTTGGAGTGAAGATAAAATGGAGAGAAAGGATAGCGTAAGCCACCATGTGTTCCATCGAAGAGGAAACTAGTTGAGGTAGAATAATGAGATCAATAGAAATATTAAAAAGTGGGAGAACAAGATCTTTTAGTAGTAACTATTGGTGGTCCATTGGGACAGATGGAATGATGTGTTGAAAGATTTGGCAGCTGCATTAATTGAAGGAGGGCAAATTAAGTCATCTGGATTTCCTTTGGCATTTTATTTTTGCTGCAAGAATTTTCTGGGACAACAATAGATTTCTGCAGATGTCTCTTCTCAATACTGTATTTCTTACAACAGGTATTTACATTCCCAACTTGTATTGTGCATCCCTACAGTCCAAACACACAGAGAAAGAGGGAGGGAGGAATTGATTTATTGTGAATAACCCACCACACACATTCTCTTCTGGCTAGTTCAGAATTCCCTTGCCTCTAAACATTGTGCTTTTCCTGTGCTGTAGAATTTCTTCTCCTTGTCTTTGGTGGCCTCAATGAGTTCTGGTGCAGGTGAAACAGAGGCATTATTTGTGTAGGGTTGATGAAGAGCTTCACCCAATTCAACTGTTTTCTCTCTCCTCCCAGTTGGCAGTGCGAGAGTCACCACATGCATGAAATACCCATGCTTGCCTTCATCTGGCCCATCAGTCAGAGTCACTGCCTCACAAAGTACACACAGTTGGTCCAACTTGGCACAGATCATTTAGCAGGCAGGGAGGTGACAGAGGGAGTGATCCGTGTGAAGACAGCCTGGGAGGCGATTCCGGTTCCCAGAATTCGCTACTCTACCTGCACCACATTGTTACAGAGGCCTCAGCGAAGGCTTTGTCTGTTGTGGTGGTGGTGGGTTATCCCCAGAGGTCAATGCCCCTTGCCTCTGCCTGCGTACTGCTTGTGCAGCACAGCAAGCCGTGAGGTTGTCCGCCCAATGTTCCAGGCAGCCTAGCTGTGACTCAGCTTTTCTCAGCCTTTCCCAGATGCTGAGACAGTTGGCCTCCACAGGCATGCAGGTGCCACACTGTTCTAGCCTGAGGTCAATGTGAGCCCTGGCAGGAGGCTGCTGTACATGATCCTATTGTCTTTCTTCTTCAGCAAGACTCATTCACACACTGGGAAGGGGTGACTTTGTCCTTCTGCTAACAATACCTTGAAACAGTCACTACTCTCATTCATGGCTTAGATGAGAAAGTGTTTGGTTCGCTAACACCAACCTGGATAGACTTCCCTGGTTGCTTTCTTGAGGTAAGTTGCAATCAGGTTCTCAATCAACACAGACCCAAATCATGTCAGCTACATTCGGAGCTATTGCTCATATCAGGAATGCAGAAATTCTTCTGGTAAGAGGGCCCACAGTTCCATTGCAGAGGAGCGCTTGGGAAAAACATCCCAAAGGTAAAAGGGGCAAGGCCAAAAACACAAAACAAAAATTAGCATATTTATCTGAAAGCTCTTAAGAGAAGCATTTTAACCTTTTAGAATGCAGGAAAAACTGCACTAAGCTGGGCAGCTACTGAATGATTGATGGTTGAGAAAAAGGGGTTGCCCTGTGAGTGAGCCCTGGAAAGTCAGATCCAGTCCCTTGAACTGAGATTTTGCACCCTTGATTCACACCATTATACTGAAACTCAAAATTATTCTTGGAATCAAAGCAAACACATCCAACAACCTCAAAACTATTTTACAAAGAGTAAAAGAGCTGACTGGGTGAATTAGTAAGTCAGATTACACACACACACACACACACACCCAATGGAAAGTTTACAAAGCTGTTTTCTTGTCTCATAGTATGCCCTTGATCATTTTTTTGCTTGTTAAGTGGAAAGCAGGGACAATTTATGGGGTGCTGGAGCATTTAGACAGCTTATGAAACCATTGCACAACATTATAGGATATGGAGCAATGCAGGACTTTCAAGTCCTTCCCAGTCACCTTTATTGCAGATACCTGGCTCATATGAGACCTTTTCTAGCTCTGTAATCAATTTGTCCTAGAGCTTAGATTGCTTCTAGTATTCTTCCAGTGACTTCAATGGAAAAGAAGCCACATCTACCAGTTAAATCCTGAGTCTCTGTATCACCATCCTCCTCCTTCCCAACCCACCTGTTTCCCACTTTCTTTTGACTTCCTGTAGCATGTAGCTGGAGATAATATTTTTGAAAGATTCCTTATAGACAATACCATAGACTCCCCCACCCCTCAAATGAAATGCTTGTGCTCCATTTGACAGCAGTTAATTCATCTTTTCCATTTTACTTTGACAATTAAAAAAAAACCCCCTGTTCCCTGTACACAATCAGGGAACATAGAAAACTCTGAAGTTCAACAGAGAAACCCAACAGGTTGCCAGCCCCTTGTCCATCCTTTGATTTCAGCTCAGTTAAAGTTATTGGATTGTAGAGGATAAGGGTGCTATACTTCCAGAAGTTCTCCAGACCATAAAGTAGCCCACAATTCTGATTTTGTTTCTTCATCTCTGTTATTCAGACTGGGTGCACAAACTGGTATACCAGCCGCTGGGAGATGTCTGGTTTCCGGATGATCCCTTTTTTATAATACTGCCGGATGGAACGGCTCAACTTGTCATAGTTCATAGCAGGTCGATTCTTCCGGATTCCCCACAGACGAGCCACCTGGGCAGAATCTTCAATTTTAAATATACCTTGAACATAAACACAATGAATACAAGGTGTAATATGTATCTACTTATGCATAATCTACTTACAATCTAACCAAAATTGACCTCTAATTAAGGCTTGAATCAAAAGAGTGATTAATGGAAAAGGTGACTTATTTAACAACAAGAACATCAAAGCCAGAAGGAAAGTTTGTGAAGAGCGATTGGGACTGAATGCTGTAAATGTGCTCAGGACAGTGAGAAGCATAATGGGAATAGTACATATTGAAATCAAAAGCAACGCCAGAAAAGGAGTGCAGAGATTCTGTATGCCAACTTGGTAGACCTACCTACTGCCCAACAAACATTTGAGCAATTAAGCTGCTTCTTGCATAAACAGAACCTTAAGGCAAAGGCCTGCTATCCAGACCAGGAAAATATTTTGAATTTCTAGGAAGGAATCAACACTACTCACCTTTCTCCTTATTAAGCCAGCGAATGAAGCGTCCATAGTTATGGGGCTTCAGCAGAAGCTCTTTCAGAAACTGCCACAGGTGAATGGGTTGGCCTGAGCAGGATGAATCCACCTCATTGTCCGTCCAACCCTCTTCATTCCCTATAGCAATATAGCACTTATCAGAAAAGCCCAAATTGCAATGGCCAGGAAGGGCATCTTACAAGTGACCGGAAAACTTTGCTGATGGTAAAGAATGTGGTGGCTTGTTCTTTTATCAAAATCATCCCAAGACCTTTGGCTTCCTGAGGTGACACCTCAAATGAGACCCGGGTCAAGGTGCGTAATATCCAAGGCTAGGCACATTATTTGAACACCTGTCTTTGGCAGTGACTAGGTTGCCTTTTCACGATACTCCCAGGCAGCTGTCCAAGGAAGGTCAGCCTTGTGTTTCACACTGCCTGAGGCAGGGCTGACCTGGGTTCTATTCTGTGCATCCCTAGGAACACTACTTTTATTCCAACCTTGTCCAGCCATGGCAACCTAGCCCACCCTCCTGAAGTGTTGGACTGTAACGCACATCATCTCCACCAAACATGACGAGGACAATGGCAGCTGCAGTCCAACACATCTGGAAGACCCCGGCCTGGAAATTACTGAAACCCTTTGTCTGCATGCCAATCACCTCCCTGCTTTCTTTCTTCCTATCACTTTTTGGACTTCAGTTCTTTGATGGCAAGGATAAACTCACCACAGTAAAGCATCTCTCCAGGAGCAGTTTTCTCTTTCATCCAGGCAGCTGGAAGAGAAGCACAACTGTCAAAGTGTGGTCTGCTGGCCTCCAACACACACAGTTCTCCTGTCTTGAAGCCTATTCAAGAAAATGGCTCCTTCATAGAACTGGAAGGAAGCAAAAGACTAATTTCTCACTGAGTGATAGGTTCATCTATCATCCCACCTTTCCACCACAATTTGACTTACTCAGCACTGATCCAGCTCAAAGACTTGTTGTGCCACCAGGCTGAAAGCTGGCACAATGTCACCAAACATGGCAGTAAACCAATGGAAGAAGTCAATCCATCAAAAAAAATTATTTCCCTTTCTCTGTATTCTTGGTTCCCAGGAATATTTAGAGGCAGCCAGGTAGGGTAAGAGAATGACAGCTGGCTGTTGCCCAGGGTGCAAGTAGTTCTTCAAATGCAAATATTCTGGCTGTACCAGCTGTTTCCCAGCTTCATCACTAGATACCTGATTTCCAAATGTCCAGGTGAGCATGCAAGACATCACCACATGCTGGGGAGCGCTGGCGGAACTGCTCCTCAGTCATGGCACACAGGTCCTTTCCAGATAGATCCTGGAATGATTTCCCAATTTGGGGCAACCGGTATTGGTGCTCTGTCCATAAGATCCACTTCTGGACATTTCCTGGACTCCACTCTGCTGGGTCTACAAAAGAAATGAGATATATTTCAGAAACACTACACAGTGCACATTATCATTCCTCAATTATCAATCTTCAAAGCAAATGCTTTAAAGGGAGTATTCTGAGCAACAAGGAGAGCAGAATTTCCCATCTTCTGGTCTGCAGATTTCCTCATTAAGCAATGCATAGCATTACACATAGCTAGCAAGAGCTCAGTTCCCAATTCCATTGTTGTAGCTTAGTCCTACAAGTTATATAAACATAGGATACAATCCCTATCTTTCATACTAAGCTGTGACACTATTCCTGGTATATAGTGCTTGCTAATATCAAACCAAGACCCTGAGCCAATGGGAGAGTAGTAATAGAAGTCACTAGTAATGAGAATTAAGCCCACAAAGGACAGGGTACGATCAAATTAGCTCCCTCACAGTACCACAATTCTGCTTTTCCTTGACAGTCCTGAAACTACAGGAAACAAGGAAATCTGCAGCAGCTTGCTGAGAAGTTCCATCTGCTGATCATGAATAGCTTCAAAGGGAATGGGAATAAAAGCAACACACTGTTGACTTGGATCATGTACCCGGCAGTTACAGGACCCTTGTGCAACATGCTGATTAGCACTCTTATATCCACACATCTGCCATCCTCCTCACATGGAGGGAGAGGACAATGGCTGAGAAGTTCTGCCATAATGCCTTTGTGTGTATTTCTTTTGGATTTGTGTTGGCATCATGTCTAAGATTTGTTCTGGAAAGGTGGTATGGGCAAGAGTCTCATGGAAGCTGGGAACAAATGATCCTGATGGTAGGCTACCTAGCTCGATTATTATTTTACCAACCCTGCTGACATGACTCCCTTCGGCTTCTTCAACTTCAGTTTTCACCAGAAGCAGCCATTCCAGTGGGTTGTAGCAAAGGCAGATGGGAGGAAAAGCCAGGCCATTCCACCAGCCTTACCCAAAAACTGCCTCATTTTTTTTCCTTTTCCCTCCCCCTCCCCTTTTCCTTGTGTTTTGTGAGTCTTGAGACTGTAAGGGATCTAAAACCTTGGTGAGAAACCTGGTCCTATCCTGAAGCACCCACCACTTAAAGCAGACAGTAATGGTAGATAATTGACAGATAGATTAACAGCATCTGAACAGATCCATGTTGAGGAAGTCTGATTTAAAGTTTTGATGGGCTTACCCAAACCACCGATAAATGTAAGCCCCCTTCATAAACTTCATCTTTTTCACTTCCTTGTTGACAGCACAGAGGTTTTTGCTCTCATCGAGTTAAGTTTGTCGCACAGCCTTCCCCAGCCTGGCACCCTCCAAGTGTTTTGAATCAAAACTTCCAGAATTCCCAAGCATTGGCAATGCTTGCTGGGCCTGATGGCAGCTGAAAGCCAGAACCTGCAGCTGGCAAACACTGCACAAGATTACTGGATCAACCAGCAGCGTCTTTCCCTTGGCCTGTGCATGCAGAGCTTTACAGTGGGAAACTCAGTGCCATTCTGCAGTCATAGAATCCTTGCTGCCAAATGTAATCAGAAATGTTTCCTTTTTAAAACCAGATCATCAAAGGGTGCGGTGTATTTCTTAGACAAACAAACATCTAGCACCAGTTAATCCCTATTTATTTTCTCCCACAGTTTTTCCCTCATCTGACAAGTGTCATGGCTGCATTTGGTTGAATCTGTTTAAATGACTCCAATCTTAAATTTACGGGTTGGGGATGGGGGGACAGGACTGAGTTCTCGTAGTTGGTGCTTATTGTGGAATCTGTCCTTTAACACATGCCAAGAACTTCCTTTAAATCCTAAATTCTCATGCTCTGTTTTAAAAATGTGAGTTTTTAAATTCTCATGATGGTAGATATATATTTAGCAGATGCAGTATGCCTAGTCAAGCAGCAATCCGTGAAAGGAATGGAACTTATAATTGTGCTCTGGCTAGCTTCCTGCATCTACCACGTTAAGTATTTCTTCTTTAAAAGGCAATGCAACCTACTTTAGAACACTATTCTTAGTCTTCAGATTAATGGGATTTGCACCAAAACTCACTTCATTCACAGAGTTCTGTTTCATAAGCCAAATGGCAAGCCTACAAATCACAGAAGCCATCAGGGGCTTGATTTTTCATTGATTTTAACAGAATTTAGATAGTGAAGAGAAATATATGATTGCTCTGAGCAGGTACCTCACAAACTACTCTGCCAACGTACTTCTCTCTTCTGCCTGATATCACTTGAAGGCTGCTTTAAGCCCTGCCCACCACTTCTGCCTGGTGTCGCTTGAAGGCTGAGAACAAAGGCATGCTGAAGGGACTCACCTGCGGCAATATTGAGGAGCTTGCAAGCTGTTTCGATGTCCTTGAGCACTTCTCCCACGACCATACTCTGCACCTGCTCCAGGGAATGCTCCTCCAGATGGAGACTGGCTTGGTAGTCCATATCAGGCGTGAGGCTGAGCCCTTGGCTGTCAATGATAGGGCACTGCTCAGGTTCTTTGGGCACTTCCATCCTGCCCCCTTGGCTGGTGGGTGGCTGACTTTCCCCCAGACTCTTGGGCACCCAGTTGCTGTCATCTGGGTAGAGCATGTCAAAGTACTGCAGGCAGAACGTGGGCAGAGTCTGTTCAGGGGTGGCTGGGGGACTCGGACTGTCAAGGGACCTCCAGCTTTGGCTGTCAGGGTCTCGAGCAAGGGGTAGCTTCTCCAGGCTAGAAAACAGCACAGGATCCTGTAGGGCAACCTGGCTGTGTGGAAGAACAATCAGGCCTTGGCTAGCACTGCCCATCACTCTGCACAGGTTTGTCTCCGGATCTGTCATCAAAGAAAGGGAGAAGGAAGGAAGGGGGGTGGAAACACATGCACCAGTCAGGAGAGGTGGTTTGATAGTCATTTCTGCATTTCTGCCCAGTGATCAGGCACAATGGAGGAAAGCTAAGCCTGTTAAAGGAAAAGAAACCACCAAAGAGTCACTCTGTGGCCAAAGAGACCCCTAGATGAAAATAGGTTAAATAGCTCTTCATGGGCCCAGGCAACTCTTCTCTTCTGGGTCACTGGGCAATAAGAGGGCAGGGAAGGAATCCTGTCCCCAAGCAGGAGGGAATAATTGAATGCAGAAGAGAAGAAGAATTGCCCGTGGTTAGCATCAGGTGATAACTTTCTAGAGAGGGAATGAAAGTAATCTTTCTCGTTTCCTGTGAAAAAGGAAGGAGCAAAATCTTTAATGCAATGAAGCTATCGTCAAACAGCCCTTGTGGGAAAATGACATCTTCAGCACAACACAAATTGACTCCAAATATAGTTGGGGCTGAATTTTGAACACTTAGAGTTGAGTGTCTTTATGCAGAAATGCTTGGGGAGGGCTGTTTTTAGGGGAGGGAACATAAATGTCCTTATTTGTCGTGCAAAGTCTTCACGCTGTCTTTTATAGCAGCACCTTTGTTTCCGGGTCAGCTCCTTTTCTATGTGCTTAAAGTACAATCACTCATACCTGAACAAATGGCGATCGTTCTTCCCAAACAGTTCAGTCTGTTATCTCCATTTTTATAAAATGTAAATGTATGAAATATTGCGGGCATTTTTCATACAGCCTGTTATATAACAGTCATGAGAAAGAGTATGTTTTATTTTATTTGGGGCTCAAACCATTCTATGGATGCTGTGTGTTTCATCTTATCCAAATGTAGGGCAACTCCTGCTTATGTGAATATTTACACATGTTAAATTGCCCAGTGACTAGAACTGTGGTTAAACTAACATTTTAAAGTATCAGTGGGGTGGAACGTACAGTTGACAGCCCTGCAAGCAAATGCTGGCTGCTCACATAGTATGCAGACCAGCAGACTCAGTGCCTTCTTTGGGCCAGCCATCGTTCCCCAACTTCCAATCCTTCCCACCTCCAAAACTTCCAACAGCCAATGGTTCCCCAACTATCAGAGGAAGTGATTAACAGAACTGCCTTCAGACACTTATGGCAGAAGCAATGGTTTCAGACAATTAAAAGAATGAAAAAGAGCCCTGCTGGATCAGACGAATATACCACCTATCTCTATTCTGTCCACACAGTGGCCAACCAGTTGCCTCTGGGAAACCCACAAGAGAGATGGGAGAGCAACAGCAACCTTCTGCCCGAGTTCCCCAACAAATTATCTTATATTAGACAAAATATAACGATTATGGGAATGATTGACGGCAGAAGAAGGGGACGGCAGAGGATGAGGTGGCTAGATGGAGTCACTGAAGCAGTTGGCTTGAGCTTAGGTGGACTCCGGGGGAAGGTGGAGGACAGGAGGGCCTGGAGGAATGTTGTCCATGGGGTTGTGATGGGTCAGACATGACTTTGCGACTAATAACAATGATGACAAAATAGGACCCTTTCAAAGTGCAGGCCAGTATCTGAAAAGAAATCCATTTTCATAAGCACCTGCAAGTGTAAGTAGCCAAGAGCCAGCTTGCTCCACACAGCATCTTGCTTTGCCTTCTAAGACTGAAGGGACCCGGTGTGGGTAGAAGACTTCCATATCTCCATAGCGTAACTCATTGCCACCATGATATTTCGTGAGATATCAAAATGTCCCATTTTCTTCTTAAAAATATATTAAATAGCCCAACTCTAGCAGCTGTTTAAATTAGAATGGAAAGAACCTCAGTGGTTTAATTTCCCACATGCATGTGATGAAATCCATGCAGTGTTGTCATGTGAATGAATGAATTAGAACTATTCCACTTGACATGGATGTGAAGATATGCTGAGCCTAGCAGGTCCAAGCCACTAGGATTTCTCTCTGGGCAGAAGACACAGATTAGAAAAAATTCAGAGTGCTCAGGTAAAGCTACATGGGGCACAATCCTATGGCCTCCTATAGGATTACTTGGTATCTCAGCTCCAAGATCCTGCAATCTCAGAGCTGGAACTCCAAAGGCTGAGCCCCACCCTCATCACATCTAGAAACAGGGTTACAGCTGGGCCTTGCAGGAGGAACAGGTCTGATGGGGGATAGGGAAGGAACCAGGCTGGGACTTACGCTGACCTGTGTCAGCACCTCAGCCTCCTTCCCTTCCTCCCTCCAGCACCAACTCTAAATTGCTGAGAATAGGCATCTATAGAAAATACCTGATGTGAGGTACAATGGTGGCAGAGCTCAATGCCATGCACCTGGTTCCAGGCACAAGATGCACATAAGTCTCTGAGTTTGGGGGCTTGCATGCAGGGAGGACATGAGGCATAGTACTCTGCCCTTAAGAGCTCAAACACCGCTGCCTGTGCTATGGATGGCAGCATAGTCCTTTCTTCAGAACCTTGCATCCCCCCTGCATTGGTTTCCTCCATAACTGACAGGGGAGATTACACATCTGGAAAAGTTGCATTTCCAAAACCCATTTGCATAATCCAAGATGGCACATGTTTTCTATCAGATGGCTCACTGGCTGAGAATTTTTAATGTTGCTACACAGCATTCTGACATTTACATTTATACATTTATATTTGCATATCTTTGAGACATCCAAAACATGTGTAAACTAAACAATACATCTGCAGTAAAAGAAAAACTCCTCTAAAGAAGATAGAAGCAATAAGGATGGCTACTATGTGCATGTTCAAGGAGCTAACAGGTTACCCTTGTTTGCTAAAATAACCTGGTTATACTAAGCCATGATGTTATCATTGGGGCTTGCAAGGTGGCTTAGTGTAACTTCCAAATCCAGAGCAACTTTTCCATAATGGATTATTTTTCAAAAACAAGCCACCCTGAAAACCCTTAGCTTGTAGTAGAATTGGTAAGGGAATCTTGCTCCCAGAAAAGCCTGATGTTTGAACCTAGCAGGGCAATTTTGTCATGGGATGTCAGGAACCGCTAGAGAGACACCCAGCAAGAGCAGCAAGCAAACAAGCAAGCAAGCAAGCAAACACCCCAGCTGCTCTCAATACTGGCACTGCCATGTTCCCTCATCTCTTATTTACGTATTTATTTATTATTTTATATCCTATTTTAGGCATACCCCATCTTTTTCCTGCAAGAAACCTAGCTTATACTGTCTTCCTTCTCTCCACTTTATCTTCACAACAACCCAGTGAGGTAGGCTAGGATGACAGTTTGTGAGATTCCCAAAATCACCCAGTGAACTTCAAGGTGGAGTGGGGACTAGAACTCAGATCTCCTGAATCTCAGACCCGCACTCTAAACACTACAGCACACTGGACCTCCCACTGACCTTCACACTGACCTTCACAGCACCCTTGGCCTCAGGATGGCTTTTTATATATTTTATTTTCTGCACAGAATTCTTGAGGAAGGGACACAGAAGGACAACACAAACACTTTCACAATTTTTTTACACAATTTAAAATTTTTGGTCCTGAGCATGTGTGTAGGACTGAATGCATGCTGCTAGGAATTTCACATAATTTCCCCTTCCATTTAACTACTCAGCCATAACATGTTCATATTTTCAGTCATTTGCCTCTCTTGGCTGCCTGAAATTTGCCCATTTTGACCCACTCAATCCCTGTTCTGCCTTAACATTTACCTATGTGTAGCAATCCTACTCACTATACTGTAACCCCTGTACACATCTGATTGATAGCAACAAAGACCAGGGGAGGGAGGTGACAAGCACAACATTGGAATGAGGAGCTGAATGCAGCTGGAGGCTGCAGAAGAGAAAATGTTTAAGGGTGCTGTCATTTCATTAGAATATGAAACAGCCTTCCTTTAAAAAGGGGTTGCTTTCAGGGGAAGCCCAGAAGGGAAGGATGAAATTGACAAGAACTTTGACAAAAAGGACGGGTATAGAAACACTTGGCTAAATGACAGATCCTAAAGACTTGTGTAAGACCCAGAAGCAAATAACTGTGAACACACTCCCATGCTCATAAGGCCTCCAAAGAGTATTTCCTTTTTGCAATCTGATACAGGGGAAGAGAGTTGCTTTGTGCAAAATGAGCCAGTAACCCCAGTGGACCATTGCAGATGAAGGGAATGAGGCAACAAGGATTCCTGCAATGAAGGCCCCTTAGATATGTGCTAGCAATGAAATGAAGGACTGAGAGGGAGGGAAGGAGCTACAGGCCACCACAAGCGACTGAGCAGGTGATCATCTGTCAGAACTAATGGACGAGGCTTCCACCCACTGTGGCTTCCTCTCAGGATGGCATGATGTGCAAGCATGATACGCAAGCTCACCCAAGGACTAGCAGGGTCTTCCTGGGAGATTTGGCTCTCTATATGAATTTTTTGGTAAACCAAAATATACAGTTGGGCAATATCTTTACTGGAACCAACCAAAATGCCACAAAATTATGCAAGCTTTCCAGTTCATCAAGCTAGGTGGTATCACTTAACCTGATGAAGAGTTTGGGAGAACTTGAAAGCCTACACAATCTTTTTGAATTTTGGTTGGTTACCCACCTGCAGATTTTGGGCTTTTTTCATACACCAGCAGGCTAATTTGGCCTTTTTATTCTTTGAGTCAGAGCTTTCCCAAGTTCATTCTATTAATTCTCCACTAGCTGAGGGATTTGATTTGGATTTGAAAGTATCTATCTATCTATCGATCTATCAATCGATCGATCATTCAATCTGTGCAGCAAAACGTATTTTTTTGTTATCTTAGGTGCTACAGACAAGCAAGGGTCACACATTTAGATGACTAGAGTGCACAAAAGTAGACAGAAACTAGAGTTTGTCTTTGATCCTTAATGTAACATCTCATAACATCAAAAGCAGATTTATTTATTCCAATCTTTACCATGTACAGGATTGGAATACTAGGATTCTGGCAAAAAAGTAGGCTGGC